CCAATATTTTTCTAGTTAACTAGAGATAGAATCTCTTGGAATTTTCTTCTGCAGGCTGACTTGGAACTATAATCCTCAAATCACAGGCTCCTGAGTAGCTAGAATTACAAACAGGAACCACTGTACCCATCCCTCAAAGGTATTTTGTTCTAAACTCAACAACTTGACTTTAAACTTACTAAAAATTTCAGCAGATTTTTTTTGGGGGGTCCGGTTGTAGGGCCTGAACTCTGTGCCTGGGCGCTGTCCTTCAGCTCTTCAGCTCAAGGCTAGCGCCCTACCACTTGAGCCACAGTGCCACTTCCAGCTTTTTTCTTTTTGCTTATGTGGTGCTGAGGAATCGAACCCAGGGCCTCAGGCATGCAAGGCAAACGCTCTACCACTGAGCCACCTTCCCAGCCCTGTTTCAGCAGATTTTAACTGAGAAGCCAGCATGAATATTCTACTAGGTATTCATCAATTTATGAATGTACAGCTTCTGAAAATCATAATCTCTCTGAATTTTTAAGAATGTACTACTGTATGTACCTCAGTGAGAAACAAGGTTCTGGCTACATGACAGCACAGACCAAATTCTCATTATATATTTCCCTGTGACTTGGCAGTTACCTAGTTATATGACCTAAGCCTGCTTTGTAATAGGATATATCATCTAATGTTCACCAGCAAAATCTTCCTTGGCAACTACGTTATTAAATGAAATTTTCTTAGAGTCAGCCATACTTATACATTTATGTATTATTTATTATTTTCTTTACAGTAGCAGAAATGATTAATATAGAAAAAAGTATGGTCTGTAGACAACAAAATACTTGTAAACTAGCCCATTAGTGAAAAGAAAAATATTAGATTCTTCTAACAGACGCTTTAATTATAGATTAAGTGGCACAAAATAGAAGTAATAGTTTATATTTTTCTTTGCTTTTGTTTTTATTTTATGGTTGGTAGTGGGCTTGAACTCTGGGCCTGGGCACTATCTAGTTGATATTTTTCTTGACATTGATAATAGCAAGCTACATTCAGTAGCAAGATGGTTTTCTGGTGAAGCAGTGGATCGTGGCTATGACATCAGGTGTTAATTGAGACTTACCTTGTTTCTTGGTGCTGGATTTGATTCAAGATGTTTAACATTAGCTTTAAAGCTTTACCATTGATTCCATGAGTTACTTAATATCCTGCTAGTCAATTATATAATTCTACCAAAGGTAGTCAATGTCACTTTGTGTTAGTTGTAGGTCAGAACCTTGAATGTCCCATAGATTTTGATTTATTCTCATATCTGAATAACATACTTCCATCTAATTTCATAGTGATCTGGTTCTTGTCTACTTTAATAGCTCTTATCTATCTCTAGTTACTTTTCTAGATGGTTGTCAATTTTTCTTGAAGGAATGGAAAATGCTTCAAATCAGAGGAGGTGTCTAATTGTCTCTCTGTGGTGATTATTAAAATTCAAAATAGTAATAGGAATGAATTAATGGGTGTCAGAATGGTCAGAGACATATGACAAATTGTTCATCATTAAAATAGCCACCGTTGTCAGGTGCCAGGGGCTTGCACCTCTAATCCTAGCTACTCAGGAGTCTGAGATCTGAGTATCACAGTTCAAAGCCAGCCCAGGCAGGAAAGTCTGTGAGACTCTTATTTCCAATAAACCACCAGAAAACTGGAAGTGGCACTTTGAATCAAGTGGTAGAGCACTAGCCTTGAGCTGAAGAGCTGGGGTACAGCGCCCAGGCCCCGAGTCTAACCCTATGACACACAAAAAAAGCCATCCTTAACTAAGCCATTATTATAAATAAGCAATCAAGGAATTCCCTAAATCCAAACATACTTTAAATATACTATCAACAAATCCCCACAATGATTCAGTGATGTTGGTATTCTTGTTTTCTAGATTAGGAGCTGGTGGTACACAATGTTACAGATTGTACACAGGAACTTACAGCTACCTAGTTTATAGCAACACTAGGTCCAACCAAGTGAGGTTGGACTCTAGAATTTCTGCTTATAAGCAATTACTTAAAAGAGCTTTAGGTAAGACTAGAATAAAAGTCATAGAAAATTGAAAGCTCCCAACTAATTTCTACAGAAGTTAAATGGGAGAAAAATTAGGAATGTCTCCTGACTGCCAGATAAGAAAAGAATGGATCGACTGGGTTTAGTAACACTGTATTTTGCCGGAAATGAAAGACCTCAGATTTGGTGTGAAATTGTGTCCATTTGCTCTGGGGAACAACATTAGCATATCTGCTCCATTTTAAGTCTATAGTTGAAATTTACCTGAAAAGGAAACTTATGTATAAGGCTGTGAAAAGGATATCTGGTTCATTGGCCAAAGATGATTTACTAGAAAGTTGGGGAAAAAGCCTTAAGAACCAGAAGGTATTTTCTATACTTTAGTACAAGAGTAATAGATAGGAACACAAAAAGCTCAATAATCACTGACTTGAGAAACCCCAAGGGTTTTTGGAGAATGGTATGGATAGTTTAGAATATTTAGAGAAAATACTTACTGGAAGAAAACAGACTAGAATATTCTGACAGTGGAATAAGCACTCCAAGTGAGGGGATAAAAGGAAACTCATTAAGACTAATAAGCAGAGGCTATTGATAACTCACAACAGGATACTGAATGTACACTAAGGTAGCAGTGGAGGATTAAGTATATTTTTTCCCCTCCTCTCTGCTTGTCTCCTCTCCTCTCCCCTCCTGTCTTCTCCTCTTCTCTCACTCTCCTTGTCCTTCTTCCTCTGCCCCCTTTCCCCTCCCCCTCCTCCTTCTCCCTTCCTCCCTCTTCCTTTCTTCCCTCCCTTCCTCCCTCCCTCCTTCCTTTCCTCCCTCCCTCCCTTCTTCCCTCCCTTTCTTCCTCTCTCCCTTCCTTCCTTCCTTCCTTCCTTCCTTCCTTCCTTCCTTCCTTCCTTCCTTCCT